GTTATTATTATTATTATTATTATTATTATTATTATTATTGTTATTATTATTACCACTATTAATATTATTATTATTGCTGCTATTATTATTAATATTATTATCATTATTATTATTTAGTACTATTATTATTATCATTATTGTTATTATTATCACTATTGTTATTATTATTATCGCTATTATTATTGTTATTATTATTATTGTTACTATCATTATTAATTATTATTATTACCAGTGCCTTGTGATTTCGTTTTAAATTCCACTGGTAACTTCTTCTATCACTTATGCTTCAACGAATTTCAAATAACACTTAAAATTGTTTTATCTTGTTGTTAGACGGCTATTAGTTGGTCAAGATTCTATTTTGCCTGCCATAGCAAACTAGCTGAAGTTAGTATTAAAAGTTGATAAAAAGGTGTTAAAACTATGGGGAATCTGATCATTTGATTCAAAATTTGATTTTATGATTCATATTTATCAACTGATCTTCCGGTTCATGTTTATCAGATAGCTGTTGGGGTGTTGGAATAGATGATACAAAAGTTGGCCTAGCATAAAGCAAGCAAGATGGAACTTTTGAAAAATTTATCTTGTGAATTACTGGATTCCGGAAATCATCTTTTGGTTGTTTATGAGTTTGCTTAAAACTTAGATAATATCTAGTCCTTTCAAAATTATCCTTAATTTACGTCTTCATGAATCATTGATTTATTTATTTTTATTTTTTATTTCTTTGGGAACCTTCGATGAATTGGTAGTAATGAAGCTATTTGGACTAAAACAGACAAATTCTTTACTCGCCAAAATTCTATGTCAAATTTATGAAATTTTGGCTGAAATTTGAATAGGAAAAAATATTCGTGAAAAAGATATGCCAGAAAATAGAAATATTAGTGAGATCAGTGATAAAAACTAATTAGTGATAAATTAATGTATAGCTCAAAAGGAAGATAATGAATGAAACTTATCGAATAATTTTATCATCTAGATCATGAAATTATCAGCAACAATTGTTGCTAATTATTTCTTGGGAAAAAGTATGCCTAAGATTAGTATTAATTAATAGGGCTAGATTTAAAAAATTTTGATCTAACAAACTAAGAACTGAAGGAAAGAAAAGATGCATAATATATTCAATATTTATCCTTTGGTAGTAAATTGATCAGATAGAGCTGGAAGAAAAAAAAAAGTGTCTCCAAGGATTATAATTGTCGCTAGGGTAGTTTATAGGAAGCCTGAAATAGAAATAGAAATAGAAGGAAGGAATTACTTCTACAACTACTATATCCTCATTCTAACAATTTAGGCAATAAAACACGGTGGATTGTATGTATCATGACATCGATCAATCTGTTATGCGACAAATTTGCTGCAAAAAAAAAGAAAAAAAAAAAAGGGTATTACATAACATGATTGTTTGTTGGCTAACGCATTTGGCATCTTTTTAATTATTTAACTTTAATCATTAAAAACGTGAAATACGTTATTATACACGTACGTAGGACAGAAAAAACTTTTGTTATTAAATGACATTATAACTTTTTGTAATGAATGAGAATTAAATAAACAAAAATAAATGTTGATAATAGAATGAAAACTGCACAAGATAATGATTGTTCAATTTATAATCATATTGGATTACTTGAATACTAGATTATCCTTTATTGATTAGTTGGAGTTGTTTTTCAAATTTATAATTATTTCGTCAGAGAAAAATGAAAAGGAAATAAGCAAAATATTTCCTTCCACTCTTTTCAATGCTATCATTATCATTTGTTATTGTAATCTTTGGGAATAACATTATCATATCAAAATAATATCAAAGAATTAAGTAAAATCTATGTTTAAACCAAACTTTAAAAATACACAAAAATGGATGGCATTAAATTTTATTTTATTTTTTTGATTGGAACCAAAAAAAAAAAATTTAGTAGTAAAGCTATCAACTATGCATTTTCAATCCTTTTAATAAATCAAAAATACATGATGAAAACGAATAAGTTAAATTGCTGAAAATTAGAACTATTCGTATAGCTTTCATGAAATATTGGTTGAAAAAAAAGTAAACGACTGAACCTTGCTAGAAGTAACCAATTAATTAATTATTTAATTAATAAGGAAGGAAATAAGTGGGAAAAATCAATTAAAAAAATTAACATAGCACATTGAAGAATGGAGCTATAATACAACATTCAATGAGTAATATAATACTTGAATATCGCATTTTCATATTTAATTTCAAATTAAAAGAGGATCAAATAACAATCAAAGAATGGCATGAATCCAAATTAAAATGTTGAAATTCGGAAAAAAAAATTTTTTTTTGGATGAGAAAATTATTACATAATTAAATATTCTCAATGGTAATAAATAAATAAATGGTTTTTTTTAAAATTGAGAAGAAAATTTAAAAAATGACAAAAACTAGAAATATAAAAAATTTCATATAAATAAATGAAACAATGATGAATTCCTCAATTTGAATTTGAATAATTGAAAAGGAAAAAAGTGCGCCTTCATCAAAAATAATTCCCAATTTAGCAAATTTCACTACTTTTTTTTCTTCCAGTAAATAATAATAGCGGTAATTAAGTTCGAAAAAACAATAAGTAATAACAAATAGGTTCAAATTAATAAAACGTTTCCTGAAAAATTCAACTTTAATTAACAAATTTATTTCACGAAATTGTAAATGATAAAAAAAGTCTACAATAACATTTATTCAAATAATTATTCCTGCATTTAATTTTTGCAAAATATGCTTACAATTTAATGTAAAATGATATTTTTAGTTTTAAAAATTAAACAGAAAAGGCAAAAAATGAAATTCGGAAATGTTATTTAAATTAATACTAAATAAGGGAGCACGCGAAATTTGAAAACTTCATTGGAATAAACGTTTTTCTTTTCTTGTATTGCGATGCATAAAATACTTTGAATTATTTAGTATTAGTTTTGGATTAATGATTTTACAAAGCTGATAAATACCTTATCAGACAAGTCCCTGGTTTGAAAAGTTTTGGTGCTCGATTAAATTTTCCAAAAGTTATGTGTTAGACTAGATCATGACATCGAAAAATACAGCTAAAAATGGAGAATGACAACGGCAAACTTGGACTTGATATATATTGGGAAAAAAAAAATCCAAATTTCAATTTGATGACTTTTCTTCCCTGAAAGATTAGACATATATTAGCGAAATGCCTCTTTTTCATTTTGATGGAATCATCAATGATATTTGATGAAATTTTAAAGTGTTGAAAGAATTGAAATTTTGATTTTGAAATAGGCAAGAAGGTTTTCGATTGATAGAATTTGCAAATACTCAGATTTTTTATATTAACAATTTAATTAAAAATGAAATAAAGAGAAGAAAAAAATGAGGAAAAATAGAATATTTTTATATTTACTGAAATGGCTTCATCAATCTTATTTTAAAATGAAAAGAATTGCAATGATTAGCTATAAAAAAGTCATTCTTTCCATCTTCTTAATTTATAGCAATCAAAACATTGGAACTAAAACGAGGGGATCGTTTTTCTTTTTAATTTTATATTTTAAAAAAAGAAGATGTAGTATCAGAAATGAATTTACCTAATAACTTTTGTAGAGATATCTGTTAAAATAATGATGTATTTTGGATTATTAAAAAAGATAAAAAATAAAAAACGATTGCCATTATCGTTTTTTTTTCTTAACTGTTAAATAATAAATTAATTTAATTACCAGTTAGTACAGGAAGTGCTAGGATGGAATTATCAGTATGAGTTGGCGATAGAAAAGATAAGGGAGGATTGCCGATAAAATATTATTGGACGACTTCTTATAATCAATTTTGTGATATGATGATTTCAGCAATTTTACTCTAAAATCAAGTATGAAGAAATAATGATTAGATGAACTAGACAGATTTATTCAATTGGAAATGATTTTAACAACTCTTGTAATATATCATTAGATATAACTAATTAACCTTAACTTACTACTTAATTAAAACTTTTATTGTCAATTCTAATCTTCGATAATGCTAGTCGTATTTTATTTATTTCCCTCTCCTCTTCCCTCCTAAACTAACATTAAATTTTTTTTCGCTTTTTCCTCTTGAAAAAACTTTAATTAAAATAATTTTACGCAATTGAAATTTTTTCAAAGTTGCACGAATTATCTGAAACAAAAAATTTTTTTCCATAACCAGAAGGAAATGAATATGAACTTACATTTGCACTTTTTCCTTCAATCTGTTTATTAGTTACTGGTTGATAATGATAATGATGTTTGCAAATGGAAGTGGCGAAATGTCAGTTATTT